GGCGGCTAAACCGGAAGAAGGATTTCCCGGCGCAGAAGAACGAGGCGCACATCCACTTCGATTGCCCAAGGTGCCAGTCCTCCGACACAAGGTTCGATTACAACAACAATGGCAGCGCAAACCAGCCGTGCTACTTCTGCAAGTTCTGCAAGACGAAGTTCCGGCCTTTCTCCAAGCCAAGGGTGAAACAGGAGCCAAAGCGATCGCCTTTACCCTTTGATCTCAATCTGGATCCCGAGCCTGGGAGAGTTCCATCGCCGCTGCGATCCGGAAGCTTGGCTGATCAAAGGCCATCGCCCGGCTTTGTTTGTGTGAATAATAAGCAAGATAGTTTACATTGACACTATAGCAAATGCCTGCTCACAATCTTTTTGGGGAAGAACACTGGAACGAACAAGGGTAAAAAAGGATGCTCAAGGGTGTCCCTCGCCACCATTGAACTTTGGCTATGGAACTTCATCCAGCTCTCCGCCATCGTGTGGATGATTCCAATCGCCGTGATCTCCAGCGTTATAATACGGATACGATGAATTACTGTCCTCGATGATACTTTGGTCGTGCCATGGTAGCAATGGATTGTTGGGCTGTGGGATCATGTTTATGTCGATTCCAAGCGGTGGAAACAGCGAAGGGTGGTATGGAGCTGTGTGATCGATGAATGATCCTAGCACCGGAACAGTGGTGGTGGAAGGGAGATAGATGTGATCGTCCTGGTTGTGGATGTGAGGACTTGTGGGATTCATGGGTGGCGGTGGCAAATCAAAGCCGGGATTGAGAAAAGGGAGGAATGATTTGGGGGTGGGGAGCTCCTCCGCCAAAACGCTGCTGGGATCGATCGATGGGGATGGAATCACGAGATGGTCTTGCTGCTGCTCGAAGCAGCTGATTCGATCGAACGTACCCCGGAGCTTGTCGAGCAGGCAATCCGCCAGGCGCTTGAGCTCCTCCAGGTCGTAGCCATCGATGCGATCGTCCCATGCAAGGTTGTAGGCCCTCTCTTGCTCCAGCTTCCAGTTTTGATCCAGCTTCGCCTTGAGCTCCCGGCGGAGCTTCTTGATCTGCTGCTCCAGCAAGCTCGTGTTGTCCAGCTTCTTCTTGTCGCGCTCCTCCTTGGGCAGCCCCTCGAATTTGCTGATCACCGACGACACCCCCGGCATGCCCCAGCTGAATGGCACCGCCGCCAGCGACGGATTCGCGCTAGGCGGCGAGGAGGAAGACGAAGACGACGATCCCGCGGAGGATTGTGGCTGCTGATTGCTGCTGCCGATCGATCCCGGCGTGGAATTGGGCTGCTTGCTGGATGACCCGGCCGAGGAGCTCGCGGGGCCATAGCAGATCATGCAGACATCCACACCGCAGAGAATCGCTAGCTCCTCGGCCTTCTTCTTCATCCCCTTCTTGCGCTTGTTGAATGTAACCTGGCGCGAGGCATCGTTCTTGATCCAAGTAATGGGGATCTTGGACCGCCCCATGGATCGCAATCGCGCAATCGTGATGTCGATCGAGAGGGAAGAATGGAAATGGAAATTTAGGGCTCTTGGAGAGAACTGGGTGGTTTTTCAAACAGTGATTCATTGACTAAGTACCAGTTTCTATCTTGAGTTGGCATTGTCACTCAAACATTCTGTTTTCGCGTCGCGATTTTAACGGGCCCTTGCCACCTTTTAATCGTTACTTTTTACCATTGGGATGTTAGGGCTCTAGGGGTTTAGTCAAGAATTTTTAGGGTTCTAGCGATGGAGGAGATCGCGCTCGTGCCAGCGTCGCTGCCGGAAGTGGATATGGCGGCATTTCCCGCATCGAACTGGGTGCGCGCTAGCGTCGTGCAAGCGTCGACGATTTACGGCGACACTCCTGCAACGATCGGTGAGGTTTCTGGTCGATCGCTTTGGTTTGGGAATATTTCGCATGAAATGGATGCACTGTTGTGGCAGCCAAGGCCGAGAAGCTGATCGCCGCGGCCGCGACGCTGGGATCGCAGCTGGTAGTCTTTCCAGAGGCGTTTCTGGGAGGATATCCTCGAGGATCCACGTTTGGCACTGCTGTTGGATATCGATCTTCGCAGGGCCGTGAAGAGTTTCGTCGATATCACTCGTGTGCTATCGATGTCCCAGGTGAGAAACAATACTAGATCTCCTAAGAAGAGACTCTTTTCTTCCAAAGTTCTGGAAAAGGATCTTATCATTTTTCTCGCAGGTCCGGAGGTTGATCTTCTCGCGGCTGCTGCTGCCAAGTTTAGAGTGAACTTAGTCATGGGCGTGATCGAGCGCTCGGGTGGTACACTATACTGCAGCATTTTATTTTTCGACTCACAGGGTGTTTTCCTTGGGAAGCATCGTAAGTGCGTTCCTACCGCTGCCGAGAGGCTGATCTTTGGTTATGGTGACGGCTCCACTTTGCCTGTTTACAAAACCGAGCTTGGCCGTGTCGGCGGTCTTGTTTGCTGGGAAAACCGCATGCCTCTGTTGCGAACAGCATTATATGCTAAAGGTAATGGAAGTCCGATTGTCTTAGTGTGCTCTAACCCGTCTTTGTGTACAGGTGTGGAGTTTTACTGTGCACCAACAGCTGATTCGAGAGAAACCTGGCAGGCCACAATCCGGCACATTGCTGTCGAGGGCGGATGCTTCGTTTTGTCCTGCAACCAGTTTTGCCGGAGAAGGGATTATCCTCCAAGCCCAGACTACACATTCGCGGGATTCGCTGAAGAGCCATCTCCAGACAAGGTGGTCTGCGCTGGTGGTAGTGCAATCATATCCCCGTCCGGCGACATTCTTGCGGGACCACACTACGAAGGCGAAGCCGTTTTATCAGCCGATTTAGGTACGTTGTCACCACTTCCTTGCGTGCTTGAATGCGGAACTAATGACCGCGATCAACTTTCAAGCAGACGTGGGAGAGATCATCAGGACCAAGTTTGAGTTTGATGTGGTGGGTCATTACTCGCGGCCAGAGGTGCTAAGTCTCACAATAAATGAGAAGCAATATGTGCCGGTGACTTTTGTTCCAGACGAAAAGAGGGCTGATTATAAGCTAGGCGAGGCGGGTAGTCCCATGCTACCATAGTTACAGGGATTACGACCCCGCTTCAGTTGTGTACAGTAAGTGTGGCTCCTGTCTATACTTGAATGACTAAACAGTTGTGTGTGACTACGTGCATTTGCAAAGCTTCCCAGGACACAGCAAGCATGGCTCCCGCGAGAGAGATCACTGACGGGAAACGTTTCCGAGAAGAAAAAAGCAGAGAAAAGAGAGAAATTTCAGCCCAGGTGTCTGTATCGGTGGTTACTTCCTCTGTGCAGCTTCACTGAAAACGACGACGCCATGGTGGTGGAGCGATTAAGAGCACTGAAAAGGCCTTTAACAGCTTACTATAGGGCCCGCGGCTTGGATTGGACCTGGTCGCCGGATGCTTCTTTCAACCACTTGCCGAGGTAAAGGAAGCCTTGCATTGCTCTTGAGTTTGTTAAGCCCTTGCTAACTTTTTCATTGTTTTCTTTGGTTGTCCAGGAGGAACTCCTCCTTCCTCTGGTTTCCTGAAGAGTCTCCTTTCCTGGCACGCAAAGGCAGTAATTTACAAGTAGGTGTGTCCAACGGCTTGCAAACAAATGAAAGGTGGGTGGAAAGCTTCCATCTCTATAGAGGTATAGCATGTAGCAACTATATACAAACTAGGAGATAGACTGATGGTTACTTCTTTCTCAGGCAGGGGCCACGCGTATATGCCACTCACATGGCTTCGTAGGTAGGCAGTACCATGTACAGCGTCGTCCTCCTTCCCAGGTACAGTGCAAGCATACCAAACAGGCTTGGCTTGAGCTATGGCACCTAACTACAGCTTACCTTTAAGGCCTTCGGCTTTTGGAGCTAGCTCCTACGGCTAAGTAGTGATCAGATGAAAAATTCTGGCTCCCGGATGGATTGACTGATTGATTTCTCTTACTTCTTTGTCAAGAGCTTTCAGTCTAATCATTTAAAAGCAGGTCTCCTGGTGGGCGATCGCTGTCCAGGTAATCAGTGGTTCTCTAAATGACTTGCTCGTTGATCTTCTCTTTGGTTTTTGGCAGAAGCAGCATCCCCGCCGCGCTCGCTGGCTGTGCAATCACTGTCGAGCTGTTGGAGCATGGATTGAGAGGCGGGGGAGACAATCAAGGTGAAAAGCCGTTTTTTATTTGCTCTCTTTCTTTTCTTTTTGAAACAAGCTATGCGAAGCCGTCGCGTATTCACCGCTGCTTGCGTCGCACTGCACGGACTCAGAGAAGAACAGCTTTTTAAGTTATATCTCGCAACAAATCGGTCAATCAGGCAGGCAAGGCACAGACAGACACGGCCAGCGGTGCTGCCAAGTTCGTTCAAACATCACAGACAGCATTGTTTATACGTTTTCAAGCTATCACTCACTCACGAGTCGCTGCGCAAGGTAAGAGAACTTCCATTCTCGTTCGCCCGCGCTCCGAGCTTCATTTAACACTCGCTTCTTTTTTGTATAGATTTTGGTTTTCGCCAGCCAGCTTGAAACTTTGAGCTCGCCAAAGTCAAACATAGAAGCGCCCGCTCGTCTCGCGCTTTTTTCTTTGAATTTTCTTTGCTTTGCATTGCTTACTGAGCTTTGGTCCCGAATCCCGGTAACGACATCGGCGTGTGAGCGTAAACCAATACGCCCACGAAAAAAAAAAAATATACTGCAAAGAAAGCAAAGATAACGCGGTGCTTGTAGCATAGCTCTGTCAGTATACATGCATACATACATGTACACATACAAGTTATGGTACTAAGATACATACTTGATTGAATGTATGCAGGACGTACACTTTACGTCTCAAATCCCAATACCAGCCTACGAGCAAAGCACGCGTGTCCGTACATACGCTAGAGAGTATGTACGCTCGCTCGCTGGCGGTTGCGGAGGGGAATCGAACCCCCAACTGGCCGGCGTACATACGGCTTTGGCGGGGTATATATACAAAAACGATGGGAGTTCTACGCTGGGAGGGATTTTTTAGGGTTCTTGGCTTGGCTATGGTCGTGACCGGCGTGCGGGCGTGCGGATTGTGCGTGCATGCGTGCGCCATGGCGAGGCAGCGCCAGCGCCAGCGCCAGGGCAGGGATTTCCTCGGCGAAAGGGGAAAATTCCCTCTTTCTCCTCTCTCTCTCTCTCTTTTCTCTCCTCTCTCTCTCTCTCTCCCTCTCTCTCTCTCTCTCCCCTTTCTCTCGCTGGCTGTGCTTGCTGCGGGGGACAGATTTCCAGGGAGCGCATTCATTGATTTCCATGTCGTAGTAGTATGCGCGTGTGTGTGCGTGCTGGGCAGGAGCTAAGATGTATAGGCGAGAGAGAGGGAGCTCCAGGCCTCCCAGGAGAGGCTACAACCGCTTTTTCTCCTTGATCTCTGTGTGCTTGTCGCAAATCCATGGCCAGGGAGGAGGAAATCCCAAATTCACACCCAATTCTTCTAATCCCACAGCCGGTCCAGCCAGGGGCTGATTCAAATCCGCCTCTCTTTGATTTTCTCTCCTTTTTTTTTTCTTCTCTCCTGTGGACTGCCAAGGAAGAGCTAGCCCTGTCTCTAGCAAAGCTGCAGTGGTGTGAGTCGCAGCAGCTATTTAAACGTGCGCTGCTCGTTCTCGTTTCTTTGACGATTGTCACTTCCGTTTCATTCCTCTTGCGTGGTTCTCGTCCGTTCTCGTGCTTGCGATTTTGGTGTGAGCTTGCATTGCATCATCCTCTTCGTTCGTCCTAGTGATTCGAGTTTCCTACACGCTCTCTCTTTTCGTCAGGAAGGAGTGTGTGAGACCCAAGAGCTCGCAGCTCGTGATCTTCGCTTTGTCGCGAACAATTTAAAGTTTGTGGGATGTCACGGCTCTCGAGCAAGTACTCTAGATATCTAGGAGAGAACCGAAGAATCACTGCCAAGTTTACTCATTTCAAAGAATCCTCTCATGCTTTTCCACGGCTTTCTTGAACCTGGTGCTCTTCCAAGGCAGGAGGATCAGAAAACGTTGTGGTCTTTCTCGTCTCCTCGTCTCGTCCTTGGTCTCCCCTTGAAAGAAACTCACCAGTAAGAGTACGAAGTTCAAGAAAGCTGTGGGAAACAATGGCCGGATTCAGAAGCTTGTGAATCATTTCGACGCTATAGCCGTGATCTCTACTCCATTTTTTTGTGTGCATCTTTAGCTCGTGATCATTGAATCGTCATACTAATCCCACTTGTGGTCTTGCTGTGATTGCAGCCAGCGAGAGCAAGGCTTCCAAGTCCCGCGATTCAACTTGGAGGAAGAGAGGAACTCGCAAAATCTCTCGAGATCTTCTGACGATCATCGGCGAGAGAGAAGTTTGGTTTTGTCGTTCTTTGCTCTTGGTTTTCGGTTCCCTCACTTTGTTTTTGGCAATTCCTCGTCGTCGTAGGTGTCACCTTGGCCAGGTAGAATTCGACATCGCCACTACAACCATACGTGTACTTGTAGGTATTTTCTCGCTTGCACTAGTTACTAGACTAACAAAAGCTGCTCGCTCGATTCGTATGTCGTTTTCACGCTTGGAGTGGGCTGCGCGATGGTTAACTTGTGTAGACTGATAGATATATGGCTTTGCTTTCCTTTCCCGTGCTCGCTCCGCCAAAAGGATGGATTTTCGCAGGCACCGTCTGCCGGAACAAAGACTGGAGCCCGGTCTGAGCGATGGAGCGTACAGTAATCAGTGCTCGCGTCTCCAAATCATCAGGTATCTAAGTTTGCGTCTACACTCTCCTTGTATTCTCGGACGAAAACTTCTCGTCGTGTTTCTAACTTTTTTTCGTGGTCTTTGGGAAGGCCAGACGTTCTTAAGTTGGGATCCAGGACACTTGCTGGTGGCACTGATGCTTTTAGTGAGCACCGTTTTGGAAGAGAAAGGAGAGATCCCTCTGCGAAGCGCTAGTACCGCGTACAGTGAGGTTTGTGGAGACTTCTTTTCTTTTCTAGAGGGCGAGAGACTCGGAGAGAAATCATGAAGCATGACGCTGGCTACGAATGATGACGACGCTGCTGGTATTAGTTCTCTTTTTTTTTTCTACTGAGCTCGCAGTGGCACAGTTTGATCGATCAAAAAGCAGGCTTTTGTGAAGTTTTCGTGAGTAGAGCTCACGCAAATCTGTGAAACTTTGTAACATGGAGAGCTTTCGTGAAGTAGAGCTCACGCAAATCTACGTTCTGGGCTGAAAAAACTCAAGAACTTCGTAGATCATCATGTTAAACAGAGATAAATCGAAAGTTCTCTTTGATTCAATCGAAAAAAATCGAGTTTTTGGCTCTGGAAAGCCTTGAAAGTTTTTCTAAGTACTGTAGAAGAAAATGTGTAGTGTTTCCACGATAGAACAAGGATCTTTGTCCGCATGCTATAGAAATCATAGGCCATCGTGGCCGTCCACCGCGGCACCACATCGAATGGACCAGCGCTGCCGTGGCCACATTCAAATGCTTCCTCCTCCATGCCCACTTCCTCTTTTTCGCGGCGATGGCAGCTACGGCGATCCATGGCAACGCCGCCGCCGCTATCTCCACTAGCGGCGCCGCCAGATTTGGCAGCCCCGGGGGCGATTTGCCGCGGCATTTGAATTTCAAGGGTTCCTCCTCCTTCTCCTCTCTCGTATTTCGGGCAGATTTCATGGCGAGCACGCTGCGCGGGGGGAATCGACTCGAGGTCGTGCGCGCGGTCACCACCGCCGCCGCTGCTGCTCCAGGTAGTGGCGATGCGCGTTCCAGGGTTTAGGGTTTAAGTGATCGGCAATGGCATTGCCGGATTCGTGTTGCGCTGTGCAGCGATCGATCCCACGCTCCAGGACTCGCTCAAGCGTGCCGTGGCCAAGCGGGCTGTGGAGCTCGTCAAGCCTGGGATGATTGTGGGGCTTGGCACTGGCAGCACTTCTTCCATGGCGATTCAAGAGCTCGGGAAGCTCGTCTCGCAAGGAAAGGTTTGGAAGTTTTTTTCTTTGCATGCTTTCTCGGGGCTTAGTGAGATTTTTTCCTCGTTTGTTTGTGGCAAGAACAGTTAAAGGACGTCGTGGGTGTGGCCTCGAGCTATCAATCCAGGATCCTTGCTCGTCAGTATGGCGTGAAAACTGTGAGTCCGAGGAAGTAGAGAACTTTTTCTTCTTTTCTTCTTTCGTGGCACTCGTAAATCATTCACTGTATCAGGTTGATTTGAATGACGTGAATGTGATCGATTTTGCCTTCGACGGAGCCGACGAAGTGGATGCCTCCATGAACTTGATCAAGGTAGCTCTGAAAATCTTTGCTCGCCTGGCTTGGCTCACCCGTAGAACACGAATTTTAGGGAGGTGGTGCTGCTCATACAATGGAGAAGGTGACTTCTCTTTTCTCTGGTCTTTAACTTTTCTTTATCTGGTCACGAGTTTCTCGTTTGTGGCACAGGTTGTCGATGCCATGGCTAAACAATGCATAATTCTGGTCGATCAGACCAAAGTCGTCTCAAAGCTTGGATTGACATTTCCTGTTCCTGTAAGAAACTTTCTCTAACGTTTTTTACTCTATAGATCGTGTTTGATTTGATCGAATCTATCCAGGTGGAGGTTCTTCCGTTCGCCATTTCACCAGTTCTTCGAGCCTTAGTTGGGCTTGGTGGAGGTAAGTTCTTTTTCTCTGTCTCTCTTTTTGTTCCGTATTGCAATTTGGTGCTATGTACAGTTCCTGAGATTCGCAACGCTCTGAGAAAAGATGGACCCGTTATCACGGATCTTGGAAACATGGTGGTCGACGTCAGGTGTGGAAACTTTTCAGTTACTTCCAACGTCATTGGTGCTAAAAACTCATCTTGAAAAACTCACAGGTTCCCCGATGGAGTCAAAGATCCCGCAGAGATGGAACGCTCAATCAACATGATTCCTGGCGTGGTGGAAAGCGGTAAGAGCTGTGATCCAAAGCTCTCGAGAGAACTTTCTTTTCACCGTTTTGTCTTTCTTTTTCCATGCAGGTCTTTTTGTGGGGATTGCGAACACCGTACTGGTTGCAACCCGCGATGGCGACGAAATCACAATCGTAGAGCTAGCAGATTTTGTGAGGAGCTTGAAAGAAGCCACGGCCAGCGGGTGACGAGACGACGCACTCGACCAAATAACTCACTCGCCCGCGACGCGACGTCTGCTAAAGATTTTAACAGCCAGGTTCTCTTCGGTTACTTCTCTTCTCTTCCTTGATCGAAAGCAAGAAAAAAAAAAGAGATTCTTTGCAATCGCTTTCTAACAATCGTGCACGGCAGACAGTGTAGAGCTCAAAAGCCGAGAGATCCAAAGAATGATCGCGAGAAGAAGTAGAAAAAAAAAAAGAAGCTTCGGCTTTTTTGAGGAAATGGCTCGATCGAGAATAAAGTTGCGGGGTTTGTTTCTTTCATTTCTCTTCGTTGGTTGGTTCGTTCTTTTCTAAACCTTCTATAGTTTGGTGGATCGCGCACGGCAGAGATGATCAAAGAGAGAAACGAAGAAAAATATAAGAAAAAGGTCGATTTAAACTTCCAACATTTGAGTCAGGGATTGGAGCTTCACATGTAGCGGTTTGAATGCGAAGTGTTATAAAGACACATGGGAGAGAATATTATTTAGTCGGACGTGGAATCTTGTGGCCCCAGGAGTCGAACCCTGGACCTGTCCTTGTTTTTTTCTGTGAAAGCAACTCTCTCCAATATGGGTGGCTCGGGAGAACTTTGGAGGGATTTAATCGATTGGATCGAATTTATTTCATATGGTTTCTAGGAGCTTTGGAGAACTTCATATGGATAGATCAAATTTAATTCATATGGTTTCTAGAAACGAGATTTTTGCTCATGTCCTCCTCGTTCCACCCGGCTTCGTTGTGAGACAGATGGAAACATGGGGTTTTTTCTCACACTGGGGCGGTGATCCTGATTGAAACCGATGGATTGATGGATGGAATTGATTGATTGATTGATTGCAAGACAATAGAGTGAGACAAGAACTCACAAGAACAAAGCTAAACAGCCAACAAAGCCACAAACTGGATTTACAAACAACCTGGATTTGGCAAAAAGTTTCTACTGTTTGGTCATGCAAGCTATGCAAAAGGAATCAGGACTAGTACTGACGACTAAAGCAAATTGGCGAGAACGAATCTCTGGGATTTTGTTCTAAGATGAACTTATTACCTCAGGAAATTTTCTTACTTTCTCCCCTCCAATTTCAATCAAGTTGGAGGGGGGCCAAAACAATCAATCCAATTAACTGTACTATCACATTGCCTTGTCTCTCCTGCGACGAGCATTTCTCTGCCAGAAAAGAGAAAAAAGAAAAAAATAAAAAATAAAAAAAAGCAAAAATAAGCACCAAAGACGAAGACCAATGCTAGAGAAAAGAGAAGCAAAAATATATAAGAACACGAACTCGCCACAGGGCCACACAAACTCAAACGAAGCCTCTACGTGTCGCGCCTCGTTTTAAGTTCTAGGTGGATCTTCAAAGATCAAACTGTTAAAAATCTCCTCGATCCAAATGGTAAGAGCCTTGATTGTCGAATCGAATCATACTCGCCACGAGCTATCGAGCGAGCAGCAGCAGTAGCAGCAGCTCGCCAGGTCCCCCATGTGCTAGCCTCCATTTCTTCTTTTTAATTCCATTCCAGCTTGTTCTTTCTTCTTCTTCTTCTTCTTCTTCCAGTTCTTCGAGAACCGAGAGCTCCAAACTATTTCGTCTTCGTCTCCCCTAGCGTTCTTCGCTGCCTCGATCTCTAGAACCCAATCCTCGAGCCATGGGAGATGGAGAAGATCGCTGCTCGGGCGATGGAAGCTCCGGAGTGGCGTCGTCACTGTCGTAAGTAACTTGTTCCATCGTCTCTCTTCTTCTTCTTCCTCTTCTTCTTCCCTTCTCTCCATCCTCGAGCTATGCGGAGCTTGAGCTGGGACGAGCTAGATCAAGCTCAAGCTCCACGCCTCCCGGATGGCACTGACGACCTCTGGATCGACTTCCAGCCACTCCCATCCTCCCTGTTTGAATCCTCCGCACCACCACCGTCCGGAGCAGCAAAGCCCACGGCCTCAAACTTCCGTAGAGACGACGACGACACAACCACTGCCAGTGCCGTCTCATTCGCCTTCATCGCAATCGCAGTCCTCGTCTCTATGTTCCTCGTCATCGCCATCTTCGAGAGGATCCTTCGGCCCCGCCGGAGCCTCGGCCAGCTCCATCACCCCCATGACCTCGACGTCGAGTTCTCGCAGATGTCTCAGCGGCCACTGCAGTGGGGCTCTTCCGGAATTGTTGCCTCCACCACCATTGGGAAGTCTCCAACTGTAAGTTCTCTCCTTCACAGTTCTTCCTGTAGTTCTTCCTGTAGTTCTTCCCGACCTGTGCTCTTTTCTTTTTTCGAACTTCGCTGGGCTGACTGCCTTCTTCTTTCTCTGTCTGTTGGTGGCTCTGTTGATCGCTTGAGCAGACTTCTTACGGGAAAGGAGTGTCGGTCCTGATGCCTGGCCATGTGTTCCCAACCTTCATAGCTCATCCCGCACCAATTGTGGCCGAGACAAAAGCTGCAACTGGAACAGAGGTCTGAATGAGTGCTGCTGTCTTTGAGCCTATAGTGCGACCTGTAACCAAAGATAAAAAAAAAAAAGGAAAAGGAAACACCAACAACTGTTCAGCCAAGACAAACGCCAATCAAGGAACCTGGTTCGGAGAACTCTTTCGGCTGCGGAGTACTTTATGTTTCTCCCTTCCTCTCACATGGCCAGCCACCAGAAGGAGCAGAAAGCAGCACCGCATTTGAATTACAACACACACCAAAAGTTAAGAGAATATTTTTTTTCTTCCAGAGCAACTCGTCAGTTCTAGAAAAGGCTCAGGAAGCCCCCCTTGTAAATGAACTAACCACATGTTCTCGTAATCGTCATCAATCTCTCGACGAGCTTGCCTTCTCGGCAGGCTTTTTACCCGTGTACCGCTGCAAGAGGGCCAAGTTTTACTACAGCGACACGAGGAAAGAAACTCATAGAAAACGATCTCTCTTACCTGCTTGCCAACTGAAAAAGGAACATATTTATACTTGATCATGTGCTTGATTTGCCGCTTCATCGTAAGAGCGAAGAGCACCACCCAGTAGAGCAGCAGGATGGGCCAAAACACCGGCACGTCGAAGATCGAAAAGAACGTCAAGGCAAAGGCGACGCAGAACGCCTTTGTCAATGCATACCTTGCAAAACCAGCAAGAAAAAAAATCGCAGTTGGTATGTGACTTCTTCGGACGATCACTCTGTCTAGTCTATAAATCGAACGAAAAAGGGGGAAAAGGGGGAGCTCACCAGAATTTAAACTCGGGAAGCATACGTATGAAAGGTCTAAACTCGTCACTGCCTTTGGTGGGCAGCATCGGCCCCTCGCTCTCGGGATCCACTTGCGGCGACAAGAACCCTATGAGAAGGTTGAGGATATAGATACCCACTCCGTACGAGACAATGTAGAAGCCCTTGAGGTAGTAGACCCGGGTGCAGTAGATTAGAGCCGCGACGAGCGAGCCGAGCCATCGCAGTGCCAGATGCGGAGCCGATTTGTCAAGATAGACCTGGAACTTGCGGGAAATATCCTCCTTCCACTTCATCGCCGGCTTCACAGCGCCTGTGACGGGATCCATGTCGCCATAGCCGTCCATAGCTGCGCGCCGCGGAAACGCGAATCCTACACCCCTGGCGCGCAAAACCTAGCCCCGAATCTGCTGCTCTCGTTGCGCCATTTGCCTTGGCGCCGTGAGGAACCCTAAACCATTAGGTAGAGCCCAAATTTTATGCGAATCTTACGGATCTGGATATTCCCCCACCGTTAAATTCTCCCAGATCCTGCGGCTATGGGAGAAACCCTAGGAGGGCTTTTCGAGCAGCTACCCCGGCGGCGAGGCTATGGCGATCAGCTTCGACGATCTTGGTTCCAGTGCCGGGCTCAAGAGTCTCGATGAGTACCTCCTCAAGCGCAGCTACATCTCGGGGTAAGTCGAGGAAAGAGTCGAGGAATCGATGAAATATCTTGACTTTGGCTTGTTCGCGCAGCTGTCAAGCTTCCAGGGATGATCTGCTCGTCTACTTGGCTCTAGCAGGCGCTCCATCCCCCGATCTCATCAATTTGTCGCGCTGGTACTCGCACATCACCGGATTGATCGAATCCAGGTATGCCTGGACTGAGATTTTGATGGAGAAAGATCTTTTCTTGATTGTTCCACGAATTTAGCTTCCCTGGATCTCCAGTCGGGGTGTCTCTCAAAGGTGGTGCTGCCCCAGCTCCAGCAGCTCCAGCTATGCGCGACGTACCTCCACCAGCGCCACAGACTCCGGTCGCTGTAGCGGTAAAAATCTCTTTTTTTTCTTTTCTGCCTTGAAGCTGACTTGATTCACTCAATAGGACGATGATGATCTCGATCTCTTCGGAGAGGAAACCGAGGAAGAACAGACTGCCGCTGCCGAGAGGGAGGCTAAGGTCAAGGCCTCCGCCAAGAAGAAAGAGTGTAAGCCATAGCTTCTCTTCTATTTGGTTCTTCGAGCTCACTCTCTCTTTTGTATAGCTGGGAAATCGTCCGTGCTTATGGACGTGAAACCATGGGACGATGAAACCGACATGGTGAAGCTCGAGGCGGCTGTGAGGGCCGTGCAAATGCCCGGGCTCTTCTGGGGTGCTTGTAAGTTTTCGATTTTTTCTTTTCGTTCTTGGGATTGATAGCGAGTTTGTTGCTTGCATTGCAGCCAAGCTCACACCCGTGGGCTATGGGATCAAGAAATTGACGATCATGATGACGGTGGAAGACGAGCTTGTGTCTGTGGATGGTTTGATCGAGGAGCACTTGACAGAGGGCCCGGCGGCGGAGTACATCCAGAGCTGTGACATCGTCGCGTTCAACAAGATATGATCTACTCGGCCAACTCCTTTTTTTTATTGTGTTCTTCACTGCGAGAAAGGAAGAACTCTCGTCGTCGTCGTTGTATTCCCTCCAGCTTTCTACAATCTTAAAAAGTTTTGTATGATCCATCCATCGTTCCAAATAAAATTGGCGCAACGTTGACTATAGTTGACGTAAAGTAAACCATTAGTTCGTTTATCTCTAACCCTCGCGGTTTAGGTTAACTCGTTATCTTCCCGCCTATTTCCAAACGCGAGGTTCTTCGCGCGCCATGGAGATGAAGGCGCTGGAGCGGCGGCTGGGAATGGCGGCCGATCGCGAAGTGCTGCGCAAGGCGGAGGAGCTGCTGCGCCTCTGCCGGATGGAATTTGATGCGGCGGCATTTGGCATTGTGAGTGTGCTTGCTTCTTTCTTTCCGCCTGTGACTTGAGGGTATCCAATGCTCTTGTGTGTTATTCCAGGGCGATGTCTGCCGATCCGTGCTCTGTTTCGAGATCGCGTGCTCGACGTAAGTATCCAGATCTGCATTTCTTTGCAGGTGGAGTTTATTTCTTTCTTTTCTTCTCGGACAGGATGCAAGTTCCATTCGATCGGCAAAAGGGAATCAAGCTGAGTGGTCTTTCTGATAAGGCTTACAATAGATCACTCACCACAGTCCAGAATGCTCTTGGTATCAGGTATTTCTTCAAAGCCAGGAAGAAAAGAGATGGAAAAAAAATGTGGGAATAACATTTTTTTCTTCAGAACAAGCTTGAATGTGCGCGAGCTCGCTGTGCAATTTGGATGCGTGAGACTCATACAAGCTGTCCAGAGAGTCTTGGCAGCGTAAGAGCTTCCTCTTTCCTTTTAGTTTATTTCTTTACGGGCTCTCTCTACGTTTTGCTCCAGATACAAAGAGCGATTTTTGGCCACTCTACCAGAAGCACGACGTCGAAGCGCTGATTTCGATCGCCCTGTATTCACCAGCGTCGCGTTTTATTTATGCGCGAGAAAGCAAAAGGCAAGCAGTTTCCAATGCTTTTTCTCACGGTTTTACTGTCTTTTTCTTGTATGTTTCAACAGCTTAAAGTTGACAAAGCTAAATTGATGGAGGTGTCTAGCACGTCGGACCCTGAGTTTTCCAACGTAAGCTCCAACGAGCAATTGTATTGCCGATTCTAGATTTTATTTTTCTACAGGTTGCCGCGTCTATGACAGATATCTGCTTCGATTTGGTCGGTGTTGAGAAAGAGAAGTCCGAATCAAGAACTAGAGGATGCAAGAGAGGTATGCAAAGAACTCAATATTTTTTCTGCAAGGCCTGATCTCACAGTGCGAGCATTTCTTCTGCAGCTCTGTCGGATGCCACGAATCTCGAGGTCAGTAGGAAGGCGTCGATCTGCTTGTTGCAACTTCCAGGTTCTAAAGACATTAGTTTGGTTTGCATGCAGGATCCAGGCAGGACAACATGCCTAGAATACGAGGAATGGAAAGAGGCCGTTTTGTCATCCTCGAAACAAAATCCATCACCTGGTAAGCTTTTAGTGATTAGTTTCTTTGGATTGATCAAGCGTGCCCGATTCCTCCGTTCGTTTGTTCAGGGGCTGTCAGAGACCGAAAGCAAACGCGCTTAAACTTCGAAAGAATGTGATTTCGATATTTTGTAAAAAAGGAAAAAGTAAAGTTACTCATTTTTAAAAAACTTTTAAATATGTTTAATAGCAAATTAAAATACCAAATAATATTAGTATTGATTTGGTACTAAAGATCATACCAATTGATTTATATTGTCTTGGTTTTACCAATTGCTTCTACCCATCTTGAATAACACTGCAAAGCAAAATAATTCACTAGCCTTGTTCCTTTTCTTGTTTGTACTATTACTATATGTATTATTATTATAAGCATTAGTAACATTCTTCATGGTTGCCAGCTTTGCAAGGAGTGCCCTGTTGTACGCATCAAGCAACCCATCCTGTGGATTCCACATGCATCTCTTTTGATTCTCAGGGGTATGCTCCACAAAATCCCTCGGCCTTAAACCTGGAGCACTTAATAAGACGTTGCCAAGATGAGATCTCATGACCTTGAGTATTTTCCTCCATAGTTAGAGCTCTAGAATCAATCAAAAAACTCTTGAAATGTGACAAAAGACGCTGGAATCTCCAAGGATGAGTGAGAAAAGCTTTGCATTTTTGTTTCTATTCTAAGGGGATGTAGCTCAAATGGTAGAGCGCTCGCTTAGCATGCGAGAGGCACCGGGATCGATACCCGGCATCTCCAACTATTTTCAATCATTCCAAGCGTTTTGACCGATTTTACTGGTGTTGACTATGGTTGACCACTTGAGGAGCTAGGGATCCACGATGAAGAAGTAAAACCGGATGGTGCCAGTTCCCTCCACTGTTGGGTCACTGGATTGCTGCTCTACCGTCTGTGACAAACTGGCTTTTACTCCAGTACTCAGATGGGTTAATTCTTTTGCTTTTGCCTCTGACACTATGGAAACTACTTTGATATGTTGTGTCTGCAATAGAGGCAGCCATAATAAGAGACCTCCACCGGCCGAGAAAAAGAAGACTGGTAGGCAGGAGCGTGAAGACAACAAGGATGCCATCTACATGACAAAGATAATCCAACTTGCATTTTTGCATCTATCAGTCTCATGCTTTCGGTTGGGCACCGTGAGACTATCAAAACAGCAATGGATAGATATTTATCTCGTGTTTCTTTTCCCCAGTTTTCTGTAGAGGAAGTAGTTTGTGCACGCTGATGGCTTGTGTCTCCATGATCCCATTCAATGAGTGCTAAGTTGAAAAACGAGAAAAAAAAAGAGTTTCGTTATTCAAAGTATGCAAAGTGGCGTGTCACTGCAAGTAGGACATTAGGATTGGCAAGATATCCATTTCTCTTTTTGAAATATCATACCTATACTGTGGAGAGCATTTGGTGATTGAGCGATGCATGTGATCTCAAAG